GCCTGATTTGCCAGCTCCTTCCTCGCCTACTTCTTTGAGGTCTTCCACCTTCAGCATTGGGCCTCCCTCCACTGGGCAGTGTCAGACCCTTTCGAACTTAATTCCCAGCCCTGGGCCCCATCCTGTGGTTGTCAGTCTCCCGGCATGCCAGCTGAGAGCCATCTAGCTCTCTCGTTTTGTTCCTTCTTTGATTGTGAACCGTCACTCCAACGGTTCAGCTGTGGGGCGACACCCCCTTAATAAACATACACCTTGGTCGGCTTCCATAAGACATCTTCCTTCTCCAAAGCTTACACCCCCACACCCCTTCCCTTCAGAGAAGGCCCTTATCTGCTTCATTGAAACTTTATTCTCTATCGCACATGACAGCCATGACTTCTTTTGCCATATCTATTCCGTGTCTTTAGCCATCACTCTTTTAAAAAAAAAATACATTTTTATTGATTTCAGAGAGAGAGAGAGAGAGACATCAAAGATGAGAAAGAATCATTGATGGGCTGCCTCCTGCAGCCTCCATTGGGGGTGGAGCCTGCAACCCGGGCATGGGCCCTGACTGGGAATCGAACCGTGACCTCCTGGTTCATAGGTCGACACTCAACCACTGAGCCACACCGGCCGGGCTAGCCATTACTCTTTAAAGCTAGACTAGCTTTGTCCTAGATTAAAAGCACCTGACACCTGGCAGACCACATGCTGTGCCCTCCACAGTTCCTTTTCTCGCTAAGTGATCTGCCAATGAACCGAGAGGAGATCCCTCCCTCCCCCAGTCCTGCTGGTTCCTGTTACTGCTGTGTCTTTCCCGGTGAAAAATGCAGAACAGGGCCCTCAGCCTTGGCTCGCTTAGTGGAAAAGCCCTGCATGTGCTCTCAGTACTTCTGGCCCCGTGTCATTGTGTCCAAGAGAATATTTCTGGACGGATTCAAGGATCTGTTGACACTGATCATCTCCAAGGAGACCTCAGAGGGAGGTGGAGAATAGCCGTGGGTCTAAGAGCACTTTTCACTCTACACCCCTTGGTGACTTTTTTGAACTATGTCAGTGGTTCTCAACCTGTGGGTCGCGACCCCTTTGGCAGTAGAACGACCCTTTCACAGGGGTCGCCTAAGACCATCCTGCATATCAGATATTTACATGACGATTCACCAAAGTAGCATCATTACAGTTGTGAAGTAGCCACGAAAATAATTTTACGGTTGGCTCACAACATGAGGAACTGTATTTAAAGGGCCAGAAGGTTGAGAACCACTGAACTATGTGAATATATTACCTTTTTTTTTTTTTTATGAAAGAGAATAGAAAAGAAGTCAACTCAGATAATCTGCTGAACTGAAAGCTGACACTATTGGAAAGGAAAATAACCCCCCCACCTCCACACACACACACACACCACTTTGTAATCATCCGTGTCAGCTGCATTTTCCCCCTTTTAACTTCTTTTTTTGTTGATGAAATAAAAGTCACACAACACTCAGTACCTCCAGGGATGTAACGGGGACCTGAAATGTCCCTGGTTGATGATAAGGATTCCTGGTACATAAAATGGGGGGGGGGGCAAAAAATAAAATGGGGGAGCAGCTTGCACTCCCGTTGTGACATGGCCTCACACACTGCAGACCAGGGCTTCCTGCCTTTCTCCCTGCATCCCCGCAGCTCCCCAGGCCTGTTCCCCCCGTTTCTGCCCTCCTCTCCTCTGGTAGTAATTAAAGGAGGCGGAGAGAGATGCCAGCGGGTCTGCCTTTCTCCCTGTTTCCCTTCCTTTGTATCCACCTTTGCCTGGGTGGCTCCTTTAGAGAGTCAACCCGCTCATCAGAGAGGCTCAGTGATGACCTTGACTCTGAGTCCCCGAGATGCAGTTTTCAAATACAGGCCTTTGCAGATTCCTGCAGCTCTCCTCCTGCTCTTTGCAGCTTCTTCTTGCTGCTCAGACTCTAAGTGACTTACATACAGACTGCCTTATTTCTGCCTGCACCCTGCTCCTTCACGAGTGCCAATCTCTCTTTCTTTTTTCCCAGGGTGCACCGCAAACAAGATTGAAGCTCATTTGATAGTCAAAATAGGATCTCCAAGCACAGTTATGGAGTTTCTTCCATGTACCAGGTACTGTTCTAGAAACTGGAGACCCAGGGTGCACCACAAACAAGATTGAAGCTCATTTGATAGTCAAAATATGATCTCCAGGCACAGTTATGGAGCTTCTTCCATGTACCAGGTACTGTTCTAGAAACTGGAGATACTGCATGGAGGGGAGTATCTATTCTAATGGAGTTTACATTATATATATATAATAATATATAATGTAATTGATTTCAGAGAGGGAGAGAGAGAGAAACATCAATGATGAGAGAGAATCATTGACCGGCTGCCTGGAGCTTACATTCTAATGGGGCAGGAATCCACAAATCAGGAAATACCAGGTAGTGACAAGTGTCATGATGATGGGAGCCTAATTTCAGTTGAATGGGCAGGGAAGGCCTCTCTGAGGAGGCGACATTTAAGTAGAAGGAGGAAGGACACAAAGGAGGCAGCTATGTGTATATCCACACACAAGTTCCAAGAGAAGATGGCAGATGGCATGCATGCAACTCATTTTGCTCCGTTCCCAAATGCACTAAACATAGATTTTCTTTCTTTTTTTTACAAGTCATAAACTCAGAAGGAAATGTTAACTTAAATCCCTCTATAATTTGAAATTTGATTTTCTTAGAGTAGTGCTGAATAATCATTTTTTGCATTATCCAAGCCTTTGAGTTCTTTCTTTTTTTAAAAAAAATTTTTTTTAATTGATTTTAGAGAGGAAGGGAGAGGGGGGGAGAGAGAGAAATATCAATGATGAAAGAGAATCATCCATCCGCTGCCTCCTGCAGGCCCCACACTGGGGAATGCGCCCACAACCCAGGCATGTGCCCTGACCAGGAATCAAACTGTGACCTCCTGATTCATAGGTCGATGCTCAATCACTGAGCTATGCGGGCCAGGCAAAGCCTTTGAGTTCTAATGTAATCTTTAGGCATCTCAGGAAAATGCACATTCCACATACACTGGTCACAGACCCCATTTAAGGTAGGAGTGCATCTTTTCTCATGTTTGGCCTTAGCATCTAAACTCAGATTTCCCTTTGAAGCCATTCTGTTGTCCACTAACCTACCTTTCGTTGGAAATGCTCTTCCCCTTCTACTCAGAAACTCTAACTTTATTAAATTTCACAAGGAAATATAAGGGAACTTGTGCTTCCCAGCCAAGATGTGCTATCAGGAGCTAGATTTACACGTCCACACAAAACAAAGCAAAACAGACCAAATACAAGAAACAAGGGATTTTAAGACATGAGATGTCAGGAAACAAAGGACCATGATGCTTGAGTACAGGAAGCATGAGGCAAGCACTGCTGTTGCCCAGCTGACTTCCTGGATTGTGTTTCCAGGCTTCAGTTCTGCAGGGAGGGGGCAAAGGGGTAACTCGGGCAAAGCCTGGCAAACTCCCTGAATGGAGGAGATGGACCTGGGAGTCTAGAGAAGGCAAGGTGGCTGGAGATAGCAGGACAGAGTACCAGAGGGAGGAGAACATGAGCCATGGGAGGGAAGAAAGTGAAGAGCTTGACTTCATAAATATTAACAAGTCTCTTCTTTGAAATTGTTAGGAAAATGAAAAAAGCCACAAATTGGGACAGAGTATTTGTAAATCACACATCTGACACAGGACTTGTACCAGGATATGTAATGAATGCTGAACACTCAATAATAATAAATAAACAACCCAATTTTTAAAAAATATATTTTATTGATTTTTTACAGAGAGGAAGGGAGAGAGATAGAGAGTCAGAAACATCGATGAGAGAGAAACATCGATCAGCCGCCTCCTGCACATCTCCCACTGAGGATGTGCCCGCAACCCAGGTACATGCCCCTGACCGGAATCGAACCCGGGACCCTTCAGTCCACAGGCCGACGCTCTATCCACTGAGCCAAACCAGTTTCAGTAACAACCCAATTTTTGTAATGGGCAAAAATTTCAGAGGCAGTTAGTTGACCAAGGAAAATATTCATACAGCAAATAAGGACATGAAAAGAGACTCAATATCATTAATCTCAAAAATAATTTTGCCGGAGTGAAAAAAGCCAGACAAAAGAGTACATAATTTATTATTCCATTTAGATGAAATTCTAGTAAATGCGAACTAATAGAAAAATGACTAATACTTTGGTGACCTGGGAATGGGAGAGAGGGTAGGGAGAGGTGGTAGTGATTTCAAAGGGCCTGAGGAAACTTTAAAAAGTAATAAATATGTCCATTATCTTTATTGTGCTATGGTTTCACAGATGCAAATGTATGTCAAAACTTACCAAATTGTACACTGCACTCTAAGTATGTAAAGCTTAGCATGTCATGCCTAATAAGCCTGTTTCTTTAAAAATTGCACGAGTTTGCTTATTTGCTTATTTTGTGATGGAGCATCCTGTGATGGTGGTAGTGCTCTTAAATCATTTGTTCCTAACTCATTTATTTTGTCCAGCACACGGGTATTTTATCCTCAGATTTAAAAAAATGTAATCGTGAGTATGATTCAAAATTCAAAGGGTGTATAGTGAAAAACCTCTCACATCCTTCTAGCACCCCTCTCTGAAAGCAGTTAATATTACTAAGTTTTCCAAGTGCACTTCCAAAGACATTCCAGGTTTTATTACAAGAAACACACTACCAAGATGGATTTAGAGTGTGCTTCTATTTTATCTGTTGGCTGAAAGATTGCAGAATCAGGGCATGTTCATTATCAGACAGACGGATCCAGTCCTTCCAAAGCTATGTCATCAGGACACCCCCTCCCCTAAACATCTGACCATCCATCTCGTGTTTCTCTCACACTGACTGCTCACCTCTTATGGCTCTTGGTACCTATGATCTCTAAGTGGGTAGAAGCATTTCATACAAACTGTTGTTTTCTCTCCTTCAATCTGATTGCTTCCCCTCCTTGGAATTTCTATGACTTAATGGCTATGCTATTCGGCGTTCAGTTGGCTCTTATCATAAGTTAATATTTGTCTGTTGGTATATGGATCACATGTCCCTAAGTAGACTCCATGTGGCTTGACTGGAGGTAGAGACTTGGCCTTAGACTTTGTTCCCCACTGCGCAGCTATGGAGACTCAAATAACAGCTGGTTAAAGATTGGCTGCATTAAAACTACCCAACAGGCCATCAAAATCCCCTCCAACTGTAAATCAAATCCCATTGACTAGATGAGAACTTGCTATGGAATGAGCTTCCACATGATTTAGCCAAAGTAAGTCATCACCACTGAATGTACTTTTAGTATAAATACAGGTTTCTGTTTATTTATTAGAGCTCCTTAAAAGTAGGACACACCCTGAATGTTAGTGGTCAAAAATAGATCTTGCCCCTGGCACTCCGATAGCGTCTCTGGCATGCTGGCATGTTACGCAATAGTCCCTAACCAGCCAACCAGAAGTGTCTCCATCCTGAGAACTCCTTGGTATTTTAATTGAGTTCTTATCGTCTTAGTGAGCAGTAGAATGAATCCTTTATGTGTTTTTTTCTCCTTACTTGGCACAGACCAGTGATGGCGAACCTTTTGAGCTCGGCGTGTCAGCATTTTGAAAAACCCTAACTTAACTCTGGTGCCGTGTCACATATAGAAATTTTTTGATATTTGCAACCATAGTAAAACAAAGACTTATATTTTTGATATTTATTTTATATATTTAAATGCCATTTAACAAAGAAAAATCAACCAAAATAATGAGTTCGCGTGTCACCTCTGACACGCGTGTCATAGGTTCGCCATCACTGGCGTAGACACTAGGAAGACGGTGGGTAGAGGCAGTACAATCACAACCAAAGCCCACCAGCCATGGCATCACCAGCTTTGGGTCCCAACCTGCACTTGGCCATTCCCTGGTAAGAGAACTTACCCTGATCCCAGCCAGTTTCTGAACCTCCTCTACAGTAAAAAATCATGACTCTCACCTTTTCTGGTTTTCTCTGCTCTGAGATTCCTCCTTCATTCCTGATGGCCATAGTTGCCTTGGTTGCTTAGATCAAAAAGATGGCAGGCGTCCTACTAGACTTGAAGACACCCTGTGCCACACAATGGCGACAGCCTTTACTCAGGCCAACCTTCCCCCAAAGGAAACTCACCTTGAATTAGTTTCTTTCTCCACATTTTGACTCCCTTTCAAAATGCGCCTGCTTTTGTTCCTTCCCCGCAAACATCGTGTGTTGTCTTTTGTGTTGTGTATATCATTAGCAGTTGTCTGTGGTGGAGCCAGTCTGTTCGGCACTTACTCTGCCATAGTGGAAGTGGAACTCTCAGTTAAATCTTGAGCAGAGAATTAAAAAGACTGGGAACTCCTGGCCAGTTTTGCTCAGTGGATACAGCGTGGACCCCACAGACTGAAAGGTTCCAGGTTCGATTCCAGTCAAGGGCACGTACCTTGGTTGCAGGCTTCATCCCCTGTCCTGGTCGGGTTGCGTGCGGGAGGCAGCCGATATATATGTCTTTCTCACAACCATGTTTCTCCCTGTGTGTCTCTCCCCCTCCCTTCTACTCTCTCTAAAAATCAATGGAAAAATATCCTTGGGTCAGGATTAACAACAAAAACAAAAAAAGAGTATGATCATGGAGCTTATTACATTATGTAAACTAAAGCATAATACATAAAAGATGCTTCTAAGACTATGTTATTTAAAAAAAAAACTGGGAAGAGCTGTGACTGATTTGTTGCAGAAATAATGTTCTCAGGAGATAGTTCAACCAAGTCCCCAAGCCTCCAAGTTCTTGTCTTTTTGGAATCTGGCCCTTGAGACTTCCCTTTGATCACATGTGCTCCCTCAGATTCTTTTAATAGGTCCCTTTTCTAAGTTCTAACCAGAGCAGGTTCGTGTGGTTTACAACTAAAGATGATGCTATCGTGCTCATCTGCCCAGTTAGACTTTGGACACGTTGAGGGCAGGTGTTCTATCCTTTTACCTTGATGTCCCAGCGCCCCTCAGCCTTTCTGCTTTCCTTTTCTGGCCACCAAGGCAGCCCCCTACCATGGGGGAGCACTGAGAATACAACACAAATAGGCGCTAACAACCTT